CAGCACAGAAGCGTTTAATAACCAGATTAACGGGCTTCCGACAACAACTTCCGTTCACGTACCTCAGTTGTCGTCTCTACAAGGGTAGGGCCAAAAGGAAGTACTACCAACCCTTGATCAGCAGAATGCAGTGCAAGTTTGCGGGTTGGAAGAACAGGATGCTTTCTGCTGGGGCCGCTTAATCTTGATCAAACACGTCCTGGCCGCTATACCTCACTACACTTTCACAGTTTAGGAGCCCCCAAAAACCGTCCTACACTAAATTCGATAGATTATGTCCCATTTTTTTTTAGGGAAAACAGAGGGGCGTGAGAAACAGCACTGGAAAAACTGGAATGCATTTTGTCATCCCACTGTACATAATGGCCTTGGGCTTCAGAGGCTTGAAGACGTGATGTTTGCTTTCTGGTGCAAGCTGTGGTGGTGGCTGCGAAGTGGCGACACGCTTTGGACCCATTATATTCTATCAAAAAATGTGGCAATACATGAGCATGTAACGGAGGCACCGGTTAGGCCCTCAAGCTCGCGGGTCTGGAAACGATTGGTGGTTGTCCGGGCTTTCATAGAAGATCACATGCAGACTCTGGTTCATGATGGTAGTGCATCCTTTTGGTTTGATAACTGGTTGGGCACAGGTCCACTTGCCCACGGCAAGCACACTCTCCCCATACCCACCATCAGAATTTCAGGGTTGGTAGAGGAGGAGGGATGGCTGTTGGATCAGGTTGGGAAGTTCCTCACCAAGGAAGAGAGGCAGTGCGTCCTAGCTTTCACGATCCCCCCTCGCAATGCATGGACCACGTGGTTTGGCAGCCCTCCACAGCAGGCGCGTTCACGATTTCTTCGGCGTTGGAGACCCTTCGGCCTCTCTCCACCCACTTAATATCTCGCAAGCTCATTTGGAACCACCGTATCCCACTCAAGATCTCCATTTTCATGTGGTGCCTCCTTAATAATCTACTTCCGTTTCCAGATATCCTCAGACAGTTTGGCCTCCACCTGCCGTCCAAATGCCCTTTCTGCCCCCAATGAAGATTCTCTAACCCATTATTTCATCGATTGCCACACAGCGCGCCAAGTTTGGGGTTGGTTTGAATAAGGCCTCTATCTGAACGTCGGCGTCTCAAACACGCTTCTACTTAAGCTGCAAGGTTGGTGGATGCACTCCTCCGGGAAGATGCTCTTGGCCATTGTTGCCCACCTATTGCCTGTACTCATTTGCTGGGAGCTGTGGAAGGCTCGGAACACGGCAGTGTTTGAGGTCATCGTATTTTCGCCAGCGCAAGTCCGCTGTCGGGTTGTGGCTTTGGTGAATAGCATTGGAGACACTTACCCCTTACCTTATTCAGCCCCTCAAGACTCCACCTTCCGGCACCTAGGGTTAAAAATGTTAATAGCATAGCCACGGAGTAAAACATGTGTTTCACTCTCTTGGTCATTGCTGCCTTTCCCTTACGCAAAATTCAATGTGGACGGATCCTCTCTTGGCAACCTTGGCTTCTCAGGGGGAGGGGGGATTATACGTGACCACACTGGTCAGGTCTTACAAGCTTTCTCCACCTTTTATGGGCCACGTACCAACATGGAATCGGAGGCCATGGCACTCTTGGAGGGACTTCGGCTGTGCACCTCTCTGGGGTTGCCAAAACTGATAGTGCAGGTGGACTCCAAACAATTGCTTAATATGGTGCAACAAACTTCAGCAGTGCCTTGGAAGATCGACACCATCATTAGACAAATCCGTCAAGCTCTATCCACTGCAGATTTCATCGTCGAGCATTGCTACCAGGAGGTTAACTCAGCAGCAGACATCCTGGCGAAAGGAGTAGCTTCGAGCCACAAATCAGCCACTTATGACACCACTAGTTTGCCACCACGGGTGAAAGGCATCTCGGCCTTGGACACTCAGCTCTTCCCATATTTTCGTCTAATGCGTGTAAGGGAGTAGTACTCCTTGTTTCGCTTAAAATGTGTACCCGTTCCTCTAAAATTTTTTTTTTTGGAAATTGGACATATACTCATGAATTTTCAAACAAGAGGTCAAAAAATCTCAATTTAGTTTTATTTCTTAGAATTCATCATGAAATCTTCTAATGAGCACATAAAGAATGAATATATACAAAACAATAATTATCTAAAACGTAAAAAATTTATTATTCAAATGTTTGAATTTTTTTGTACTCAAATATAATACATATGAGAAAAGAAAAATCTCTAAAGAATACATTTTCATATATATATATATATATATATATATATATATACACACATACTTTCTTTCTATCTATTGAGACAAAATGTATTATTATTTTTTTTGGCTAACCCCGAGCACGGGGAGGGACGCCACCCCCTGGTAATTTATTAAAAGAAAAAGGTGACACCACCAACCAGCCCTGCTACTACGGACCTACCTGGTCATGGACAATCCTTCTAACCGATGGAATTCCTATCCTATCTAGACACATGGCTCCTCTAGCCGCTGGAGGTAACGCTGTCGTGGAAGAGTAGATCCCTTCTCTCTCCTAAGCATACCCAACGTTTGCTAAAGCATCAGCAACTTGGTTTGCCTAGCGGAGACAATGCAAACAGCTGCTGTATCTCCTGATAAATAGGGCAACCAGTCTTCCCAAGTAGAATATGGACCAACACAAGCGAATCTAATTCGACGACCAACCGGCCAAACCCTCTATGAGCGAACAGCTTAACCCCATAAAGAAGAGCTCTAACTTTGGCCTGAAGACTAGTAGCCTGACCAAAATGACCGGAAAATGCTAGGAGCAACCTGCCACCTCCATCTCGGAGGATCCCACCGCCCCTACTAGTACCAGGGTTTCCCTTGGAGCACCCATCAGTAGTAAGTTTGAGGAGGTCACCTGAAGGCCGCGACCACCTCACTAACATGTGGGACACCCGTGGAGCCCATCCAGAAATCTCAGCATAAAAGTGCACCAAGCTGCTGGGAAGGACCTGCGTTGCTGAAAGTGTAAGGCAAACATCTCTCGAAGGTCGGTTATGACCAAGGTGCACAACCTGTCCAACCCCAATTGGATCTGCTCGTATCTCATGGAGTTTCTGAATTTTCACAGGTGCCAGCAAATCAGAAGCGGGAGTATATGGTGAACAAAAGCAAGATACCTATTGCCCTTCTTCCTATACCACCAGGCTGCAAGACATACACGAAACGATGAACCACTCCAAGAGATGCCCACCGGGTCCCCGAAGAAGTGCCAAACCCGTGATACCATATCACCCTCAGCAAAGACATGCTCTACTATCTCAATGTCCGGGGATGGGCAGCACCCACACCTGAACGGTCCATGAACCCCAAATTTCCACAGGTAGCAATCCATAGGTAAACGCCCACGTAATAGGCGCAATAAGAAGAAAGAGATTTTCAATGGTAACATCGGGTGTCAAATACTTCGAAACATGAAGGAGCTATTAGCATTGCGTCTCATTAGTTGAAACGTAGACCGTAAGGTAAATCGCCCGAATTGTGTCGGTCCCCAAACCATTAAATCAGGAAGATGACCCGTCGAAGGAGCAACCCAAGCAACCTCACTGGCGACCCCGTCTAACACCTATTGCTGGAGATGTTGAAGGTTCCAAGACCCATTCGTTACAAAATCAGCAACTAGGTGATTCGACACACTCTCCAACCGCGAAGCCAATGAACCAGTCCCAAGCCAATTATCGAACCAGAAATTTGAGCTACCAGAGCGCCCAATCCACCCAATGTGACACTTCGTAAGGTGACACACCACGACCATCCTTCTCCATACTTGCGAGCCCCCATCGCGATTGACCAGATTAGGGTGCACCTGCGAGCAATACTTAGCCTTCATGAAGGTTGCCCAAAGAGATAATAGGGAATGAAAGCTTCACCACAATTTGATGGAAAAAACACCATGAATATCCTCCAGTCGCCGAAAACCCACGTCCCCTTCTTCACCTGGCACACATAGGTCCTTCTACCCAATCCAATACAGCTTACGACCCTACTCCGATTCACCCCAGAGGAAATTTGAGAAGCTCCTTTCAATCTCTTTAAATACTGATTTCGGAGGTATAACAGCCATTAAGAGATGGACTGGTAAAGCAGAGAGAACGAGCTTCAACAGCACAATCCTACCCCCAGTAGACAGTAACCTGTTCTTCCAGGACTCAACCTTACTCACCACTACCTGGGACAATCCACCAAAGTACTCCTTTTTCCGCCTCCCATAATACAGAGGGTACCCTAAATACTTGATGGGAAATGACCTGAACTTGAAACCCGTTACCTGCTGGATCATCGTCCTCCGTGGTCTACCTAAGCTGGCATGCACCAAGAAACAACTCTTCGTTTTGTTGATCAGTTGGCCAAAGATCGCCTCATACTCCTTTAATGTCCTCATTACTAGCCTGAATGAAGCGGCAGTCGCACTCGGGAAAATCAGTACATCATCAGCATACTCCAAATGCGTAATAGTCGGGCAACCTTTGGGGACCGTGAAGCCTTGAAACCCCCATAGATGCACAAGCTAATTTAGAGACAGAGATAGTACCTCCGCTCTGATGATAAATAGTGCAGGCGATAATGGATCCCTCTGACGAAGCCCACGAGCAGACTTAAAGAAATCGCAGGGCGATCCATTTATAATAACGGAGAACCAAACATTGGAAATAATCCGCCAGACCATGTCAACCCAGCGTTCCCCGAAGCCGAAGGCTCGGAGAACCTTCATCAAGAATGGCCACATCATCTTATCATAAGCTTTTGTCATATCCAGTTTTACCACTATATTACACCCGCGCACCTTCCTCTTGATGCCCGCAATGATCTCCTGAGCCAGCAGGTAATTATCTGAAATGGATCGACCCCTAACAAACCCGCTCTGATTCATTAAGATAATCTTAGGCAAAAGAGGAGCCAAACGACGGGTCAGAATCTTTGAGAAGATCTTGTTCACAAAGTTGCATAGATTGATAGGCCGAAATTGTGAAAACTCCTTCGGCTGCTACACATTGGGCAACAAGACAATGGAGGTAGTAGTGATTCGCCTAGGAAGCTCAGCACCACAAAAGAAACTCAAGACAACATTGTACACATCACCACCAACTATCCCCCAAGCAGCGGAGAAGAACCTACTGGAGAAGCTGTCAAGACTCGCAGCATTGTTCCCATCCATTTCACATACCGTCTGCCTCACTTCTTCCAAGGACGGTACCTCCTCCAACCGCTTATTGTCCTCCATTGATACTAGCCAAGAGATGACATCGACCATATCCCTCACCTCAGGGGCATCCTCCAACGAGAATAACGAGGAAAAACACCATACCGCCTCCTCACCTATGAGCGCATTCTCACTAACCCATTCCCCGTTAGGTTTTTGAATACGACGGATTACTGATTGCATATGCCGTTGCTTGACCACTAAGTGGAAGAACTTAGTGTTATGATCACCTAGAGCCAGCCATTTGACCCGAGATCTTTGCTTCCACAGCGACTTTTCCATGGTTAATGCTCGTCTCAAAGAAGCCTGGGCCTACTGCAGCTCCACGTGCACCGCCTCAAAACCGCCCTCCTCTAAACATCTCTCTAACCTCCCAACCTCCTATTCAGCTTTTGCTACATTGTCTGAAAAGTTCCCCATACGGTCCTTGTTCCATAGACGGAGATGCCCCCTTAGCCGCTGTAACTTAGAACAGAGCACATGCATCGGAGGTCCATCACACTCTTGTTGCCAAGACTCTTGCACCACTTCCAAGAAATCCTTAGGATCTGTCCAAGCATTAATGAACTAGAATGGGCGGGGTTTACCATCCATCCTTGTAGCCGTGGAGAGCAACAATGGCGCATGATCCGAGGCGTGACGCTCCAAATGAGCAACACCAATGGACAAGCCAGCGTCAAAACACTCCACATTCAGCAATAAATGGTCCAGCCGTTTCCAAATCCTAGCTCGGCTGTGACGATTATTGCACCAGGTAAATTTAGATCCAGAGAACCCACCATCCACAAAACCAGTGGCACTCATGAAAGCCACAAAATCTGCTGCCTCACCAATTGTGAACAGCCGTCCCCACTTCTTCTCCTCCTCCACAACCACAACATTAAAATCACCACACACCAGCCAAGGGCCATGCAATGGTTTGAACTGGAGCAAACCTGCCCAAAGAGCCTTCCTTTCCTCCCCAGCAGAAGCAGCATGTACCGCTGCGAAGGTAACCGAGCTTATCAAACAAGGATGTTGAACAGACAAAAACTGAGCACCCTCACCCACAATGTAACAACGAAAAGAAGAGTTATAGAAGACCCACAACAACCCCTCAGAGTGAGAAAGCACAAAATCAAACTTCAATCTAACCCGAAATTCCTCAGCCAACAACTTCTAAACATGTATTTCACACACAACTAGCATTTGGATATTATAAGACAACTAATTTTCGCAGCCTACGAAAATGGGAGGCCTTAGTCACACCCCTAATATTCCAGTATAGTGCATTAATCATGGGATAAAGGTTGGAAGGAATTTTGTGAAGCCTTTACCGTAGATCGCAGCTCCCTATCAGATGGGAACCTCACACACACGCCCTTGGCCTTGCCTGTGACTACCCTAAAAGAATCGTCAAGGGCCTGTCGGGACTGCTAAAACAGCTATCCCATCTCAACTACACCCAGCCCATCCTTTAGCGCCGTACCTCGTGGAGAAAGGTTACCCGCCGCTGCCACATACTCCACCGCGTGGCTACCCTCATCCCCATGCCGATCTCCTGGAAGCCCTTCGCTGGTCAAAACCACATCTCCACCAACTCGCAACTCCTCACAGTCAGCCATAGCCAAATCACCTTCCAAAGATTCTGTCACGTTACTGCCTAGCCCGCCCAGCAGTGGGGAAAGCTGTCCCTGTGAGGACTCACAAATTTCTTATATTTTTCTCAAAAATGCCTTTTTATTTAGAAATCATTTATTATAGCCCTACTACCCAACCATTTCCCAATAAGTGCAAATAAACCTAGAAAGTAGGGTTTCACTTTTGGTTTCAAGACTAGTGCAAAATTAGGGTTTTCGCGATTTTTCGCCGGATGAATTTTCGGTATAGAGTAAGGATTAAATTTGGTGATTAAAAGTGACTTTTAAGTGAGAAATAATATGTGATTAGGAGCAATGAGATAAGGTTAGTGAATGGGAAGTAAAAACCCTAGTACGTGTGTTTTTAAGAAAAACAGCGCGAACCGGCGGGTCCCGCGCACTACCGTTTGAATGCACCACTTGACCACCACTTTCTTACGACATGAACTCATTAATATTTGAGCAAAATATCTCCTAAATTCCAGCTAAGATTGACCGAAATTAGAGGCTGAAAATACAAGAAAAGAAAAGGAAATTTTACTTGGTAAGGGTTGTGACAAGTGTCACACCATTAGAGGCCATTGACCAAGACATTGTCCAACCTTCTTATCCCCAAAATTGCACCATTCTTCCTCATTATTTCTGCTGAAGAGCCGAGAGAGAGAGAGAGCAAAAACAAGAGAAAAGCTTCTCTATTTCTTCTTGAATCAAGTCACAAAGTGAGGAAACAAAGAAACTAAACCGATTAAAGGCACCCTTGAGTGTTTATTGAGTGAGCTATTGGTGAAATTTTGAACGGGAAGGCTAGGGTTGCTCTTGGTAGACACTAAGCAAGGTAAGGATGATGATTTCCCCAATTTTTACTCTTAATCTTGTTTAAATTAGCTTAGCATCTCAAGATTGTGATGAATTACGGTTGTTATCATGTTTTGGGTAATTTTTCCTTTTGTTACATGAGTTAGGGTTTAATAAATTTCTGCCTAAACTTGATGTATGATGAATATATGTTGTATCCAAGGTTATATAGGGGGTTTTGGTAGCAAGTGGAGTAAGAAATTAAGAAAGTTATCATTGAAACCAAAAGATTTCAGATTTCTGGAAAATTGTCACTAGGTTCTGCCCGTTTTTATTTCCCTATGTTAGAGGCCGAATTGGCTTGGAATAAAACATGAAAGTTGTAGGAATGGTATTTTATAGGTTCCTACAAAATTTCAGCTCAATCGGAGCAACGTAGCCCGTGAAAAGACCAAAATACCCTCACTATTTTAGGAAATTTCCAGTGTTCCGTTTTCGTCAGTTCATCCAGTTTATCATGTTTGTTCACTAGGATCCATGCTGATTTAGCTTTTTATCAAAACATGAAAGTTTTATTACTCTGTTTAAGCTTTCCAACGCCTACAAGAACACCCTAAATGGACCGTGGTACCGGAGATATGACCATTCCAGTGCAGTGCGGTTAGATAGCCGACTAGTTGGATTTTGGTTCTGTAAATTGAGGATCTGACTAGGTTTCATTGGAAACTGTGTCGCGCCCCATTTTTTGATAAATAAATAAATGAATTGTTAAAAAAATGTATTTTTTGTGATTCAATTTGTGATTGGAAAATGAATTGTGATTTAAAAGAAAAATGGGTCTAAATGGGGGTTTGAAAATGCGACGATTTGACCCAAAATTATAGTTTAAAAGGGTTTTTTGAAATAAAAATTGGAGTCGCCACTTGGTAATGAGTTAAGGTGTACCAAGTCACCAAAAAAAAAATGAATTTTGAAAGAAAAAATAGGAAAAAGTAGTAAGAAACCCCTTTTAAACGACTCCTAGTCCACGTAAACCAAAGAAAAAGGTTCGGGAGTCACATTTGACAAAGGGGAAGGCAAGGATAAAATCCAAGGCACCCCTTTGACCTAGCCAAGGCTAGTTGCATGATTTAATCAAAGATTTTCTTGTTTTAACCAAAGAATTTATTACATTTGGATGCACTACATGAATGCAAACCCTAGACCTAGGGGTATTGGGGAAATTTCTCTTCAAGGGTTGAGTGGTGCCAATCACATTTAATTGTGAAGCCCAATAACGATCCTTTGAAGAAGTCACGAATAATGCGAGTGGGATGCAAATGAATGGAATGCATGTATGCAATGTGAGGACATGAGTTTAAAAAAGTAATAAAAAAAATAATAAATATGTAAATGAAAATGTGCACGTGAGTGGGCAAGGTACGGTATGTGAAATGATAATATGAAGTGCATGTGTGCAAGTGATGATAAAAGTGTTTCGTGTGCAAGTGAAGAAACATAAAGGTGCACGTGTGCAAAATGGGAGGAAAAATGAAAGTGTGATGAGGGTATAAAATGGTAGAGTGGATTTAAAAATGCATGAGCCTAGGGAATTCATGCATATTGGGTACGGGGAGACCTAAATCGTGACTCAATTTGCCCATTTATAGAGAGGATACAAGCGTGCTAAGGCTTAGAAAAAGCCACACTCGTCTATATCCCATATTTAAGGGGACTCTCAAGCAAATGAACCCTATAACTAGCATGAAATGCAAAAATCCTAAAATGGAGGGAAAAGGGGTTCGAGGGGCATGCAAAATGATAAAACTAAAAAAAAATGCATGACATGTAATGAACATGCAAACATGTACTAACGAGGGGAAATCCTTAAGGGTCTAGCGTTGGACTAGCCCATTCTATGAATTCCGACTAGCGTTGGACTAGTGGAAACGTACATTCATCCATCACATTCATTCATGGCTATGGAAAGCGAGTAGACATGCCAAACACTCATAAACACATAGCACATAACATTTAGCATGCTCGACTAGATGCAAAACCTAATAAAGCAAGTAACACGTAACACATAGGCATGCAACCAAGCTAATGAACTTATTACATTCACTAACTAAAACAAAAAGGGGAAGGGGAAAATGGACCAAATTGCTTGCCAAAGCCCTATCTATTACAAGCCAAGAGGTGTACACATACCCCATAAAAAGAATAACTTAATGAAAATGAAAGTAAATGACATAAATGAAAGGAATTAAGGAAAGGCTAGGAAAGCAAAGTAGGCATGCAATTCTCATTTAGCACGTTGGATCACATAGGAGAGACACAAAAAGGGATAAAAGAAATTATACCGCCCCCTTTGAACGATGTCCAAATGAAAGAAAAATGGCTTCAAAACAATAAAAAGGTCAAGATACCACTTTATTTGGGAATATTAAAGAAAATAAACAAACACAAGCTCGCTTGATCATAAAGTTCACAAATTCATGTATTAAGTACCACCTAAACAAATGAAAGCGAACGAGCAGTCGAATTGCAAAGTTGAGGCTACCAAGGACTCAATTGCAAACACTAACCAAGCACTCGAGCCTAATCAAACACTTTTAAGAACTTCAAGGGTCCAGGGGCAAAGAAAAAGTCAAGTAATGGCTTAAAATGCATTATTCTAAAACCCATTTGCAAGAAATTAGAACATGCTTGGGCTTTTGTGGAACATGGAGAAACTTGAGGGATCGAATTGATTAAGTGTTCCAATTACTTGGGCCATAGTGAGTCAAGAGGGGACTTGGTGGTCAAAGTGCAATTATTCTAGGACTAAATTGCAAGAAATTAAAACATGACTGGACCATAGTAGGACAAAGGGGGATTTGAGGGGTT